CCCCCCCCCCCCCCCCCCCGTCGAAAAAAAAAACTTTTCTGGACAATAACGTTACAAATGCTTTCGTAGCACTTTTCCGGATATTATCATATCAATTTTTCCGATTCTTCACCACGAACTGATTCCGATAACATTGACAATTTTCTGACGGGTCTCAACAATAGGGTGGCCATGCCCCCCCCGGCCACGGACCCACTGGATTTATACAACGGGTGAAACTGCAAAAAGAAAACATTGCTACAAACTATAGAAACAATTATAATAGAAACAATTATAAATCTAACCAGTAATCAGTATAATTAAATTGAAGATTATATTCATATATATGTTTAATTTATAAATTTTATTGAAGATGCGGGAAATTACATAATAATAATAATAATAATAATAATGATAGTAATAATAATAATAATAATAATGATAGTAATAATAATAATAATTCTGGGTCTATGGAATACAGATCCTTGTAACAATTTTGCTGATATACTTGTATAGCAATAATTCATAGACTCTTTTTTGACATTGCATATCCGCAATTATCATGCATGCATGCTGGTGCAGAGTTCGACTGACTCCAATAAACTTCACTTATTTACGTCCGAATGTTTAGAATTTAGATGGCAATTGCTTACTTTACATAATTATTTTATAGAAAATGCCGTATTGCAAACACAAACGACACTTACAAGGCAGCAGTGCGCATTGGTCGTCAACCGGATAGTCATGTTTGGGTGCTTGGAAACGACATACAAGTTACGGGTGACGGAAATCTCGCTAATGAAGAGAACACTTCATATGTTTACATAAAAAGTATTCTTGACGCGGATGATTCAATCCAGGGAAACAGCAGCAACTTGCCATCAATCATGCTTCCCTTAAGTTCGTTAACTTTAGGGGACGTTGTTAAATCATTAATTGCTATGCTACACCACAATGGAATGGCGGGAATTTTTACCATCGGTATGTCCATCTCCATTGCATTCAACTTCCAGCTGGGACATAAGATATTATAAAGTATAGACGTTGTCGTATACTGCTCGGATGGACATTTACCTGCCCGTCACTAAACATTATACGATTAAGTTTTCTTATAATATATTTATTTTCCTTATATATAGCTGCGATGTTAATGGGATTACATTATGAAATGATTATCAAACTTATGAAATACTGTCCAACGCCTATTATATGTGGAACAAACAGACTTGGGAAAACGACATCTGCCCGAGCTGCCCTTTCTTTAATTGGTAACACTGCCAATTTCTATTCCTCTGTGAAAGAAAGGTTTATACCTCGCCTTTGCAGTCGCTCAACCCTGCCACCCGTTCTGGACGACATAAAAATTCCCAAGATTCTTGGAGATGCGGTCTTATCCATATTTAATAATGGAAAAGATGGCACATGCATTTTCGAAAAGGGACCTAAAACTCTCCCAATATTTACTGTAAATTGGGAGGTTCTGGATGGTCTTAACCTGGATCCAACGTAAGCTAATTATATAATATTATAATCTAATTACATTATATATGTCATTGTCGCGGTATAACTTCGCAGTAAAGCGTAACGTTTACCACGAATTGATAAATAATTCTTATTATTATCATTTCTATAATGACATTACAAATACTTTTTTGGCCAGGAACCAACGCCTGTCGTCTTTATCAGGGACGCCGGAACGATAAAAAGGCAAAGGGGGGCAAACGCATACCAAAGGGCACCTCTATAGATAAAAAGTAGTGCACCATTTTAGGGGTCAAAAATTTTTTCCGGAAATACCAAAATTTTTCGTGACGTAAAAATATTTTTCCGGACATCAGTAATTTTCTCCATTTATCCAGAATTTTTTTCTAAACTGATCCAAAAATTTTCTAAAATTTTTGTAAATTAACCTCATTCTTTTCCAAATTCACACTTATTTTTGTAATTTAACTTTGTCTGGGCCTATAAATTACCCGAAAAAGCATCACTGGAAATGTGATTTATCAGGTAGTATTTTACAACTAAAAGGGCACTTCTTCCCCCCCTAGCAAAAGGCAAGAGGGGCAGCTGCCCCCCTGCCCCCCCCCAGTTCCGGTGTCCCTGGTCTTTATTATAAGGCGAACGATATAATCCAGGCTAAAATGTTATGACGTAATCATCGGAAAGATGTATTCTTGTGTGTATCACTTACTGCATCGTATAGGGCTCTCTTTACAAGCGAATAAACCTATTACTTTTTAAAGCATGCATTTGTAATAGAATCATCACACAAAAGCGTAGTTAAGGATAGGTTTTATGCCATACAATCTACCAGTGTATCAGAAGTTTGACACTGAGTTTCTTCAATTTATGTAGAGTGTTTGGACGACTCGTGCTGATTCCATTTATAGAAGGAAAGAGATGTCCCAATGGAGTAGATGCGCAGCAAAGGGCGGAGCATGATTGCGAAAATATGCTAGATCGAGCTTCGAGCGCAATTGGAACAATGATTGGTGTGTCTGAGGATGTAGAGTACATTTGCCAAACACGTGCCAAATCCATTCGCTCAGCAATGGTACAAGATGTTGCAGATTTAGACGACAGATGCATGAAGAATTATGCTATTTTGATCGGTTTTGCTGAAAAGGTACCGTAGTAAATAAGCACAAATATACGCGAATCAACTACAAAACCACCGTTACGTTGCACTATGAATCGTATCCGGCGTTGCGCACTCTCACAATTAAATTCACCTCATTCATGCAATTTAATTATTTGTCAGGTTATTGAACTGGCAGATGTAGGATTGGATGCTAATTCAGCGTACTCTTTCTTCGTCAATGTGATAATTCCGCACGGGGTAAACAAGTACCAGACGGAGGATGCGAATGAAGCTTCAGTACCAATTTCGGCACCAGAGTCTGGCGAACCGCTTGTTATTGATCTTATCGTCAGGTGTATAAGAGAGTACGGACTTACAATACCAAAGGTAATTGAGACTGTAATTTTTACTTATATTATAAGGATATTATTATCAGTGCCAGATTAACCAAATGGCAAAAGTGGCATATGCCACGGGCCCCACGCTTTTGGGAACCCCGCGCTTACTCTTTTCGATTAAAAAAAAAACATAGTTATGATTAACCTTCAACCATATGGTTATGATTAAACATTTTGAATTAGGTTGAATGGTTACACCGATGACATTTAAGTTGAATAGTTATGCCGAAGAGAGTCAACGGCATAACCATCCAATTCAAATTGAGTGGTTATGCTGAAGAAAGTCAACGGCATAGCCATCCAAGTTGAATAGTTATCAGTGGCCCCGTGGCTGCGGGGGTGGATATGGGGGCCATGCCAAATTTGTTATGTTATCGGAATCTTCGCATGGTCAAGCATACCTGCATATAGAAGCTGGAGTTACTTCTCTTCGTTGTTTGACAATGCGAAATATGTTTGAATAAGAAAATATATAGATGAAATATCAGAAATCGGACTCAGTTTACGTTTTCCCAATATAATGTTACAGAATAGTCAATATTTAATTCAATATGATTTCATATATTATTGGGGCGGGTAAATAAATTTTCGGATCGTCGGGTTTCACCGAAAAAATTGATGATTGTCCAATACTGGCGAACGTATACGCGGATCGTGAAGATGGTAAACATTGAACACAATTCGTACGGTTCGTACGAACTGTGAAATGACTTTACGGACGTGAAAAATACGGTTCGTGAAAATGATTTATGTCTGAAAAATTGTGTTTGACAGGAAAATACTGCCCTTGCACACCCCCCCCCCTAAAACATGGGACCCACGAAGCCCCTGATAGTTATGTCGATCACATTCAACGCCATAATTATCCAAGTTGAATGGTTATGCTGATAGTATTCAAAGGCATAACCATCCAAGTTGAATGTAATTCTCGGGTTTCATATGACGTCATAAATTTGACGGGGGGGGTCAACTCTAAATCGAGACGCAGTCATTAGAGTCAATTAATTGTTCATTGTATGTCTTGTGTTTAATGGCAAATACATGCAATTTCGTATCATTTGCTCACTCCAATACAGCATAAGCATCAATACATTTTAGGTTGACCCCCCGTCAGATTCACTGCAAAATGCCGTAGTGAAATCCAAGAATACCGGTAATAATCAAAGTATACCCGGGCAACTTTTCAAATCTCAAAATACAAAAGGATTGAATGTTTCTGAATTCAGGGTTTAAAATGTCGTTGGGGGCCTGGGAGGGGGGTGTCAAGGGGCCCACGCTGATAATATGCCGCGAGCCCCGTGAAACCAGCCCTGATTATAAAAGTTAATCCGGCCCTGATTATAAAAGTTAATCCGGCCCTGATTATTATAACTGAAGGTTTCAGTGATCATATTTTCAGTCATATATTTTCTCATATTTTCGCATGCATTATTCATTTAGATGTTGACCAGTATAAATCCTGACGTGAATTTTTCATCAGGCCCATCAACAACGATGAAGATACGCGGTGTAGCCATTGCCCTGAAATGGTTGATCGCATTGGTTAAAGAAAGTGGCAATACGACGCCACGAGAAGATAAAATGAGGCAAGAAATTGCTGCACTCGGAGTTGGAGTTATCAGTAACAAGAAACAGTATTTCAACAAGAAAGCGAATGGTCAAATCATCTGCAGAGGCGCCGACGGTGTAGAAGTGGTGTCGAGAAAGTGTGTACTTGTCCAACATTCCGCTTTTGGGCAGGAGAGCTGGGCCACGTTTTCGCAAGGTACAGCCACCAATACTAGATTCCCCTTATTACGTTTTCGTAGCGCTTTGCAGTTTGTATTGTGGTTATAGTGGTATCACTGATAAAGATAGCGGCCTCGAATGAAAATATTGAATGTTTTCGTAAATATTATTCTGTTAGCTATCGCGCACCTGATCCTACAGCTTTTTTTAAAAAGTTCTTGCACGAGTCAGGACAAAAATAAGCGGCATCTTGAATATTAGTGATAGCACTATAACCACAGCGTAAGCGCTACGAAAACGTAATAAGAGGAATCCTCAATTGTTATCCTTGGCATGCATATTTATTATTGTTCACTTTAGATGTATATGTTGTCAGGATGTAGCATTAATAACGTACTCGTATTCGACTTTTCCGCATTGCTCGGGGACAAGTGGACAACCTTTAGTGTCTATTGATGGCGGATCAAGTTTTCGATTCGGTCTATATTAACCGTTTCCACCGCATGATCATTAATCATAAACTACTAAAATAAATAAACTCGCACAATTATATTACAGCATTTGATATCAAGTCTAAAGATGGAAACCGTGATGAGAGTGTTCTTGCACCGCCAACGTCAACGATCTTGGAATCAACTGCTGCGCCGGTCATTGCCTCGGAGCAACCTGCAGCTGTAAGACTGCCTCGGAGCAATCCACAATTGTCCCAGCTCCAAATGCAAGTGCTTCGATTGCCACGGAACAATCCACAGTTGTCCCAACTGTAAATGCAAGTGCTTCGACTGCCTCGGAGCAATCCATGCCAGTTATCCTAGCTCCAAATGCAAGTGCTTCGATTGCCACAGAACAATCCGCAGTTGTCCCAACTCTAAATGCAAGTGCTTCGACTGCTTCGGAGCAATCCATGCCAGTTATCCCAGCTCCAAATGCAAGTGCTTCGATTGCCACGGAACAATCCGCAGTTGTCCCAACTCTAAATGCAAGTGCTTCGACTGCTTCGGAGCAATCCATGCCAGTTATCCCAGCTCCAAATGCAAGTGCTTCGATTGCCACGGAACAATCCGCAGTTGCCCCAACTCTAAATGCAAGTGCTTCGACTGCTTCCGAGCAATCTATGCCAGTTATCCCAGCTCCAAATGCAAGTGCCTCGATTGTCACGGAACAATCCGCAGTTGTCCCTACTCTAAATGCAAGTGCTTCGACTGCCTCGGAGCAACCCATGCCAGTTATCCTAGCTCCAAATGCAAGTGCTTCGATTGCCACGGAACAATCCGCAGTTGTCCCAACTGTAAATGCAAGTGCTTCGACTGCCTTGGAGCAACCCATGCCAGTTATCCTAGCTCCAAATGCAAGTGCTTCGATTGCCACGGAACAATCCACAGTTGTCCCAACTCTAAATGCAAGTGCTTCGGAGCAATCCATGCCAGTTATCCCAGCTCCAAATGCAAGTGCTTCGATTGCCACGGAACAATCCACAGTTGTCCCAACTGTAAATGCAAGTGCTTCGACTGCGGCGGAGCAATCCATGCCAGTTATCCCAGCTCCAAATGCAAGTGCCACGGAACAACCAGCAATTAGTGTCTCAGCACAATCAGTCATTGTCCCAGAATCAACATTCCCGTTCGAACAAGAACTCACTCAACCATCAGCCCCACTTGTAATGTCACCAACATCTGCATTAGATGATAGTGGTGTTTTCTTAGAAGGTAGGTTAGGTCCTCGTTACATGATATCGAGACAAAGTCATTTAAACACAATGAGTGCATGCAACTGTTTACAGTAGTGTTTTGATAAATGCGTCAGTGACAGTTAAATTTTCTTAATAATTACAGAAATCTACTGGCAATTTCTGTTTTCAACCTATTTAGATTTTGTCACGGTCTCAAGTAATATAGAATTAATCATTATTAATTGCAGTTATGCATATATTTCTTTATGATAACTACGTAAGTTTATATGAATTTCCTTCAACAGTTGAAACTCACTACATAGAGGATACAGATGTATTTTCTACGGTCAGTGGTACGAGAAAAAGGAGTTTGAAAGAAAATGCTGTAAATTCTAAAAAGACCAAATTATCATCAGGTAGTTATCTGTTTGCCAGTGTTTGTGCCATGAAATACGTTAATCCACTTTGCTTTTGATTTTATTGAACCCTCAGTTTGTCCGCAATGAAAAAAAACTTTTTTATTCGTGAAATCTCTCTAAGTTGTAAAGATCATGATGTACCATTCCGCTTCAGAATTACCTGCATGTATGCGTTACACCATGTTTACAAGGTTACGCATGCAGTCATGTGTATCTGACTACGTTTTTTAAAATATTAAATTTCAGACGAAATCATCCAAACGCAAGGCAGCTCACAAGAATACAATTTGTACAAATATTGTATATGTAAAAAGGTAAGCTATATGACTGAAATATATTTTAAAAATGAACAGAGGCGCCGGAATATCGATAATTGGGGGGGGGGGGAGTAGATATTCATATATTCGTGTATTTTATTATTGATTGTTTTTACAGTCTGTGAACACGAATATATGAATATCTGCCCTTTCCCCCAATTATCGAACTTCCGGCGCCTCTGCATATATGAACGGCATCGGTATTGGGAACGAAACCATTATTATTTTAGGCGAAATCAAAGGATGAAGAGGATGGGATGGTTGTATGTGAAAACCGAAAAAGAAAGAAAGAAAATAAGGTTTTTACATCCTTACCATTTCATTTTAATTAAATCAACGCAACAAATACAATATTAAATGTCAAATTTCAACATTATATTTACAGTGCCCGGGAAACAGGTTCTACCATCTATCTTGCTTAAAGCTTAAAGGAGTACCAAAAGAAAACCCCTGGTAAGTAAACTGTGCGTTAGTTTCAGTTGAACTGTAAAGGAAAACCAGTGAGGAAAACATAAAATATGCAAGTCAACTTGATCAAGTCAATTTGTTAACTTTGTTAACATGATTTGATACAATTTTCCTGACAGGAATGTGCAAGCAACTTCTTTTGCACTGCAGTCAAAATTCGGAAAGCTTTTTTTTAAAATATCTGTCATGTGCAAATCAAGTGAAGTTTATATTTTGCTGTTTCAGCCGAATTCAAGTCTAAAGGTGGATCATATTGGCCCTTGGGGGTATATATAATTTCTGGGAACGCACAAAATACTATTTAATATGTTCTTTTATATAGGTACTGCCCAACGTGCAAGATAAATCGAAGTCTGCAATGAGCTATACACTCCATGTCTCCATTGACCATTGTAAATAAAAAATCATAACATATATATATATATATATATATATATATAATAAACTATGGCCAGATTGCCAAACTATAAGTATACTGACAGTAATCTATATACTGTACTAATTAATGTCTATTTTTCATGTCATAATTGCTTAGGACTGATATATAAAGATATTATAGCATGCAGAGTTGAATGTAGATCCACGTCTCAGACTCACTGTTTATTTATCAGTACGCCGAGCCTTTGGTAGCAAGGGCTTTTTCCCATTTTTATAACAAGTAATTGTGTATTGGTTTCTATGTTTTACCATACGATGGAGATAAAATAAATGGTGCACTTTTGGCATTGCACATAAAATTTTTTTAAACCTTGACAACCAAACAAACGTTTGTTCGGCGGCCATGGTATTTCCTTCTGGAAGTTCCTTTTTCAAAATATTAGGGTCATATTTTTCTTTGCATGAGGCATCCTTGTGATTCTTTATATGTAGACTGTCGATGATTTTGTTAACTGATGTCCATGCTTTGTCCCAGGGAGAAGGAAGAGGTAGTGGATTTCTCGATGCTCTCATACCATCCAAATGGCACATGTTGTCGTACGACAAAAATATTTTTGACCAATTTGATGGATTTACACACTTAAGAATCACGAAAAGCCAAGATAAAACTATTATAAATACTTGAGAAGGACTTTCAGATCTAGACAAAAAAGTGTATTAAAATTTATAGCATTCTATATATAGAGGATATTACTACACGGCGGCGCGAAGATATGACTTTTATCTTCGAGTGGTGAAAACAATATTTTACAAATGAGCACAGCAAGTGAGTAAAATATTGTTTTTAACACGAGAAGATAAAAGTCATATCTTCGCGCCGCCACACTGTTATTTTCGGGGTGTTATTTTAACACCACTTTGAAGGAATTCTAGAGGGGTAATACGGGAGTTAAAAATTTGAGCTCTTTTAACTCCATAACTGGAGTTAAAATAATACCCTTTGAGGGGTTACAGGCATTCGCAAGCTAATCAGTATTCAAAAGTAACACCACGTAAGGGGGGTTAGTGAATCTAACTCCATTTGAGGGGTTACTGGCGTCAAGACTCAAGAGCAAGTCTCACATGATTACATATGGCGTTCAAGTTGATATTTTATAAACAGTTCTGTGAATTTTCCTGTTATATACGAGGAATGAAAGCTTTAAGAATCAAATTATGGATGAAGAACATTTCGAAGGTTAGTTTATCACTTTATCTACCGGTTGTTTGTAGCCCATTTAGCTTAAACGGCGGATATAAGTCAAATTTTCATTCGTTTTGTGAATAACTGAATACAAGTTTTAAACCTTCAAAATGTTGTTGTACATAAGTGTTCTTTTCAGATTGAAAAAATATTTTGATTGTTCCAATGAATACACAGACTTGCTTAATTGATATTCTGGACTTATCCACCGTTTTATAGACTAAACGCGCTGCGAACAACCGGCCCCTGGGGTCGGCTGTTTAATAGGTGCATCAAAGGCATTTAGCTAAGCTTAAACGGTGGACAGGCAAAAAAATTATAATACATTCTCATTCATCTTGTAAATAATTAAACTTCATCAACTAAATGTGCAGTTCTATGCATAGTTGTTATGTTTAAACAGAGAATATTAGTTTGATTGTAGTCGTAAATTTGTTTGATATTTTTTTTTACTTATCCACTGTTCAGGCTATAAACGCCTTTGATACAACCGGCCCCTGAAACAGTAGTTTACAACTTAATTTTTGCCTTGCATGTTCAGTTCCAATTGGACCAATTGGTTCATCACATGGCATTTAGAAGTAATATATTAATCATATTACTATAAGAAAAATCATCAAATGTCTTTACAACTTTGATATTAATAGAGTATGACTTAACCCATTAAGTGCCAGCACTCTCCCCTTGATGAGTAAAATTGTCTGGCGTTACACAGAGTAAAACACTAAAGTAGGGTGCATCAGGGTGCAATGCGACTCAATGGGTTAACTAGACACATAGGCAGATAGGCTTGTTAAAACCCATTAAGCGCCAGCACTCTCCCCATGATGAGTATAATCGTCTGGCGTTAGATAGAGTAAAATACTAAAGTAGGTGCATCAGGGTGCAATGCAACTCAATGGGTTAATGAACAATTTAGTAAGTGAATAGGCAATTCCAGCTTTTAGTTTATGCATGCAGGGGATGATGGGAAGTAAAGTATAATATTGCTGTTTATGCTGAAAAATTTCATTAAAAACTGCTGAAACAACTATTTGAGATACACAATTAGATATTTCACTATTTACAAATATAAGCTGTCACTCTGTGTTTCACTGCCGCCAGTTTTTTTTATTTTTTCAGCATAATCAGTGATATCATACCTTACTCCCGTCAACCTCTGCACGCATAAACTAAAAGCTGGAATTGCCTATTCCAACAAGTGTGATAGAGCATCAGATGGTGCTGGTATACTCAGTACTGACAGTTATCAAAATGAGAAAATGATTTATATGCTTTCCAAGATGTATTACCGGTCATTATTTATGGCAAACTGAAAAATAATACTTGCTTTAGGTGTGGTGGCCAAAAAATCTTGCATGCAGAGGTGGGGTAAAAAAATAACCTTACTTTAATCACACACAATACAATATAATATATACTACCATCAGAGTTTAATATGTGATTATTCTAATTTTTTAACAAAATATTGCTTTCCAAAATGTTGACAGAAACACCTCCCTCAACCCACCCGTAAAGGGTCATTTTTATATTCATTTACACACAAAATCTCCAAAGACTCCAATTACCAGACAAAATATTATACTGCCTATATATACAGTAGGGGCTGTTTATATGGTGCAACTGCAAGCCAACTCCAGCTAGGGTACTCAAGTTGGCCAGTTTTTGCAAAATCCTGCCTTTGTAACTGTTATTTCTTACTAAAGTTCACCTTGTGCATATATGGGCAAAGAGCGGGCCCATCTATAGCTAAGCGAGATCCCGCCTCTTTAGCCCGAGATCTTGCCTCAAGAAAAGTGACCTTAAGTCTGTACACTATAGATAGCCCCTAACTCCGGGCAACCAGCCTCGCCTCCATATTAACATGCCCTTATTACAT